TTAAAATTAATTTTGTTTGCTCCTTGCTTTAGGTTTTGAACTTTCATTTTTATAGGATTAGGCAAGGCTGCTTTCAGTGTACACTAACAAGCAAAGTTAATTAAGGCCTTAATTAAAGCCTATCACTTAGTATTTTATGGTATTCTATATGGTAACTTGTTCAATTCTTATTGGCATGTTCTAAGGGAAAATTAAAAGTTTTTTTTTTATTGTAAATGATTTTAATTGAAATTTCTCCTTTCGACTAATACAATAGAATTAATGTTCCTCCATAGTTTACTCAACTAAGCCATCCTTAATACTAAAAAAATATTTATAATAATTTATTTAATCTTAATCAATCTAATTATTAAAAAATTACTAAATTCCAACATAAAACAAATAAACGGTTATTATGTCTAAATTAATATTAAATTTAGAGCATTAATATTGGCCCACACCAAATCTAGTGGACTACATTAATTCTCATTGTTTGAAAACATGATTTAGTTGGGTTGATTTATATAATTATTTTTAACTAGATGTTATTATGCTTCGTAACGAAAACAAGAAAAACCTCACCCAATATTCACATCCGTCAGAACCACAATTTGCCACCTTAATAAAAAAAAACTATTTAAATCCTTACTAATAAATGTTGGTTTTTTTAGGTGTAGTTGATTATGATTAACTAATCTACAATTACAAGAAAATCATGTATAAATCCAACCTTATACACATATTTATATCTAGGTATCTTTACATGTCTCCTGCAGATTTCTTTTTTTTTTTTTTAATCATGGATTGAAGTTTGATTATGCAAACTGAGGGTTGAGTACCCTACCTTATACATATTTATAAATTAAACCATTTTGGTCAAGTTTCAAAATTTTAATTTCAAAGAGGAGTTTATGTTGTAGACTTGGGCGTATTATCAACTCGATTATTTTGACATTTAGGGACAGTAAGGAATTACTCACAATCATTGACTCCAAGTACCGTAAATTCTTTTATGAGCATATTTACACATCCAGCCACAGAGTCCTTAAACTTCTGGGAGCAACTCTTGTCATCTTCATCGACATCTTGAACACCACCTTTTACCAGGCAACCTACCTGAGCACCATCCATATATGCTTGACATGCTACAAGAATATCATGAGCACGCCTGTAGAAATGGCCCACAACAAAGTCCTCAAAATGCTGCAGCCAAACATTATATTTTTTAGAATTTTAAGCCAAAGAGAGGCTTTATACGTTCTTACTCACATAATGGAACGAAATTTCCCTATATTGTCATCAATATCAATATCTTAATGGAAGTGATTACTGCCACACTCCAGCTTAAAAGTTAATGGAAAGATCAAAACACAATTCTTTCTACTTACCTTTGAGGCCTCCTCAATGAGTAGATCATTGTCTTCACTGACAAGATAAATATATCCTCTTGTATTGTCAGGACAATAATTCATCTTTTGGTGTGCCATTATGATGTGCCAAACCAGGCCCATTAAAGAAAGGCTTCTGATTCAAGATTAGAGCCTAAATAGATACCAGAACTTGGAGCATGTTTGACAAACCAGGTATCCACTTCTTATTACCAGACCAGGTGTTAAGAAGACTAAGGCATACTTTCCCACAACTATACAAATTTGGATTGAGTCGAACTTCACCAGAATGATAGTAAACATGCTGAAACAAGCAATTTCCTAGTCATCAAACCAAACACGTATACCAGAAGATGTTATCATACAAGATGCAAGATAATATTTCAAATACATAACCCTCAATTACATGCTGGTGGTACTTTAGGATAGCTAGCAGGGAACAGAACATCAAAGAAGAAGAGACCATCATGGTGGGGAGTGCCCTCTGCTCCTATAATATCATAACAAAGAAAAGGAAGAGTTGAATATAACTTGAAAAGCTAGTCACCTACTTTGTTGAAGCATCAGTGGAAGCATAATGATGGTCTGAAAAATCTTCAACAGTATCGAACTGTTTAAATAGTTGGAACTTACTGAGGATATCTTCTTCATTTACATTTCTCTGATTTCTGATGTCTGCCAAATGTTGAGGAGTTATATATGTGGCAACTGGATCAGGAAAACTTGAATAGATATTATGTTGTAGAAACTATATTTTGGTTTCATAGGTTGTGGCCACCAAGACATGGATGGTTCCGCATCCACAGTGGGATTTAGTGCACCTACAGTTATAGGAAAATTTGAATACAACAAACTACTAGCACCAATTTGCTTCTGTGTAGCAGAATTAAAATGATCCCAAAAAGTTGGAGTTACTGCATGAGGGAGCATCATTGCATCAGAGTGATTCCCACTACTACCAATAGTTAAACCACCAGTTTGGGAAGACTGCAACGAATTCCCAAATGGAAGATTTTGACTACTCCATCTATGTTGCAGAGTAGCTGACTTCTTAGATTACAACCTTGTGGAAATAACAAAGGTGAAGACAGACTTGCTCCTCCTTGAGAGTGACTCAAAGGACGCACTTGGTTCTGGGAACTTGAATTACTAACTGAAGCTGCCTTCTTGTTGATAAGAGCAGTCTTTGATAAGCATGACGAAAGAGTTTGGTCATTTGCATCAACAGTCAATGAAATGTTTTCATAAGAAGTTTTCTTTTTACTCTAAAGTTCTGCAAACCAAGGGATTGATGACTCTACTCCAGCAGGAATATCAACATTATCAAAATGTGCTTGCAACATGGCAAGGTAATACTTAAAAAAAAAAAGAAAAAAAAACTCATCATTGTATGCCAAATCATAATCCAGGTTAAATACATTATGTGATCCTTGGGTAGAATTCTTAGAAGGTTCAACCTTGTTTATTAAACCAAGAGATTTAGCCACAAAGTCCTGTATAAAAAATGGGGAAAAGTAAACAACAAAATCATAGATCCAAATGTGCATTAAATTTGATGCTAGGCACAATAAACAGAAATCACTACAAAAACACTCCAATCTCTCGGATACCTCAGATTGAACCGTACGATAAACACCAGGGCTAGTTTTTACGGCCTTCCTTTTGTTCCTTACATCAACTCTCTCATCAAGGGTCATTGTATCAGTCAAATCTTCATCTTCATCAACATCAATTACTTCATAAATAACAGCCTGCAAATACATGAAACATAAATTTTCTAGTAATGCATGAGATAGGGAAGATTTTTCTCAGAGCAAAAAGAGTGATATAAGAAACCAGTTAACAAAATATAACTTGATAAAGAATCATTTAAAGAATGTGAGGCTTTGCTAAAACCATGTTTGTCCATTTTTAACAAGGCACGCCTACTACATGGACAAATAGTATCTAAAATAGATATGGTAATTTTAAAGACAATACAGTGGTACAATATGAAAATGACACAAAAAAATCATATATGTGTTTTAAAAAAAAACTTGTTTTGTGTTTATTCATGTCAATGTGAATTTCGATACAACACAATTCTTGTCATATATGTTTTAACTTATCTAAATACATGGCATGATACAAATAACATGTTTAATATTTTTTTATATTTATTTGAATTTAATATAATCATATAAAGATTATTTTAATTTTTAATCTTTTAATTATGATAGTTAATTAGCTATTTTAATATCCTACAAAAATTATTTTAAACATTTAATTATAATACTCATTTAATAATTATTATAAAATTATTTTTTATATTAATAATATAAATATAATATAAATATTAATATCAGTCCTATATATTATTATTTTATTCTTTAATTTTTAATAGCTTATCATTTTAAATTTGATACTAAAAATTGATATAGTTATGTAATATAAATTAAAAAATATATATATTAAATACATATTCAATGAGTATTAAATTTTTTTATTTTTTTAATATGTAAGTATTTTTTTATATTATTAATATACCAAATTTATTAAGTTATAAATGATGGATAGTTTATAGTTATTTATAATTTTAGTCATGTTCATTTTAGTAGTATTTATTCGTGTATATCTATGTTAGTCGTGTCTATTTGTATATATTTATATTATTTTTATTTATTTGTGTCATGTTTAAATAAATTAATTGTATATGTGTTAATTATATTATGTCATATGTAACATATATATTAAACATATCGTGTTTGTATTTAAAATTTAAATACGTTTTATAATTCATCTTGTACTCATATTTTAAAAATTCGTGTCATTATATGTGTCAAACATGACATGAGACACGACATGAAAACTGTAATTGTTAGGTCTAATCTGAAAGTTGGTTTTGGTTCATGGATAAATATGAGTTCAAGTGAGAACACATGCTCATTAATCACCGACTTCTTTACCAAGCACGTCTACTGCATGGACAAATAGTTTAGTTATTTTAAACCCCTGCAACAGGGGCCAAAGGAAGGACCCATTTTCGCAAACTATTTATTACAGCACCTCCAAGCAATTGTTCCCTAACAAACAAGGGTAGAGGGCACTTAACAGTCACCACATTTGCCACAACAACTACTCCTTTCTTTTATTAGTTCAAAGATCAAATTTCAAAATAAAAAAAAAAATAAATGCGGAATAAATTTGGCATCTTTAAAGCAATATGATTGTAAGAACATAGTCACAAGTCCCAACCTATAGTAATGACTGAACTCCAAAGTTTTTAATATAAAAATCCAAAATTTAAGTCCTTTAAGCCGTAATAAAGCAATACTAATAATGATCCAAGCAAAAATAAAATCAATACAACTCCAAAATGGACTGATAAATTAAAATTCCCATAACAAAAGTAATAGTTGAAGCGATCACTTTATTTATTCGAATTCAACATTCATCATCATAACATATAGATCCATAGATCTATCGCTAGACATAAATTTTAAGAGTCACTGCTAATCTTTTTTGTTTAAATGTGATTAACGACCTAATTAAATCTGTCCCATTATTACGAAGATGAGTTCTAAACTTAATGTAATTATCTTTAAATGATAAATTCTAGTTTACAAAATCAGATTTAGGTTTGGGAGTGTAATTATGCATGAGAAAGGTTATAGCATCTTCACAGCGCTCATTTCAATGATGATATCAGTTTTATTTCAAATTATTCAAACCTTAAAATATCTTTGTAATTTTACCCAATAATTTAATTATTAAAAATTGATCTTAAAATTACTCTAATAGTTTGATAGTAATTTAATATAATTTTTTAACCTCAATAATATTCATATAAATTAGTATCTCACTCTGAAGAGGCTCCATCGTTAGATTTATTAATATATTTTATTTAAGAAATAATTAGTAAAATCATCCAATAGTTTGATAATATTTTACTTTGATGCAGATCTCCTGATAGTTTAATGAGATTTTATTTGAAAACAATTTATAAAATTTTATTTTAAAATAATTCATTTAATCTTTCAATAATTTAGTAAAATTTAATTCAAGATTTAAATTCTCTAATAGTTTGATATGATTAAAAAATTTATTAAGTCCTCTAATAATTTAATAGGATTAAAAAATTCATTAAATTTTTCAATAATTTGATAGTACTTAATTTGATATCTAAATACTGTAAGATTGATAATTTTATTATTATTTTTTTATAAAATATTTATTAAATCTTTCAATAATTTAGTAAGACTTAATTTAATATTTAAATTTTTCAATAATTTGGTAAGATTTTATAAATTTGTTATAAACATTTTATTATCATTTTTAACTCACAATCTTTAAATCTTATTTTAAACATGTATAAAAAAAAAACTAAATGAAATGGAAAAATAAATATCTAAATAAATAAGATATAAAAATTACCTTAATGGACGAAGAGAAACCCAAAATTATTCCAAGACAAACTTTAAACCTATTACTAGTCTAGGTCGATGAGAACCAAGGCCTAGTAAAACCACTCTTTTGGTCAACTGTTTCAACATTTTGTCTTCCATGCTACTACACAGCACCTTTAAAATGCCTCCTGGCAAAATAGTTTGACATACACCAAGTTTGAAGCACGTGGACTTCTGAATAGTCTCCTTTACTCCGTGTTTTCTTGATTTCTCTGTTCTTTTCCTCCCTTTTTTTTTTTTTGTTATTGCTAGCTCCTTCATTATATAATGAAATTCGACTAAAAAATCTAGATTTTCATTAAGAGGAAGATCAACTATTCAATGCATCGATTCTGATTCTATTTTTAATTCTTGATTTTCTTTTAATTTCACAATCTTCAACCCCAAAATTTTTGCCAATTCTCACCTTGATTCTCAAATTTACAATTTTTCCAAAAATCTTTCAAGTCTGATTTCTTTTTTTCTAGAAAATACTATCAAAGATTTAAATCAAAAAATAAAATAAACAACTAAATAGAATAAAAACAAAATAACATAAAATAATGAAATAAACAAATTAAAACCCTACAATTAGATTCGAAGTAAGTTTGAGTTCAACTAATTTAAATTTAAAGATCTAAAATTAAATCGGATCTAATTAATTTAGATCTTAAATTAAATGAGATGTTTACATTCATATATATATATATATATGATATTTTTGTAAATATGAAGTTAAATGAACAAAAAGAATGAGGGGGAAAATTTTGAAATTAAAAAAGAAAAAAAAAAAGAAAAGAGCTTTCTTGGGAATGACCTGTTTTTGTTTTGACAATAAAAAGTGAGGAATCTCGACCGAATCTCGACCACTTCGAGATCCATGAAGGAACCGTAAGAAAAACGTTGGTTTGGACAATGAGAAATTAAGAAAAAGAGTAAGAAAAGTTATCAAAGAACCCCAAAAGAGGTCAAATCTTTTCTTTATGTTTTAAGACTGTAGTTGATAGTTAGAATGGTGGTTTCGAACTTCCACTGCATAAAAATAATTTTCTTTTTTAATTAGAAAGAAATTTTGTTTTGTATAAATGAGAACGGAAAATTAAAAAAAAAAAAAAAGAACTTTTTAAACAAAGGCAGGCCAGTGGACTGTGGCAATCTTTGGGCCTATGAAGGAGATAGTAAACCTAAACTAAATATCTTTTGGGCTGAATTCTCTAAGAAAGAAAGGCTAAGACTAGATTTTAGCCCACTAAAATTGACCAACCATCAGTGGCCACGCAGATAGTTGGGAATATGGGAGTAGGCGTCGGGGAGCTTAATCTCTTTAGAAAATGAAATTACTTCGAATTAAGGGCCTATATTAATTGATATCTTTTAAAGGTGATATTTAGTAGTTTTTTTTATTGGTTTAGCACCTAATATGTTTCAGATTCAAATTTCAATAATTGTTTGTCCTAATATTATGGCTTCTTTTGTATTAAAAATTATTTTTTCAAAAAAAAAAAAAAGAAACTTAAAAAAAAATTTAGGAAAGCAACTCAAGGGTTTTGTTTCAACCAAATACTAAAGTTCTGAATATCTTTTCAACATGAACTGATTTGGTCTTCTAGTTTTGTAGTGTGTTCTTCTTCCATTTATTAAAGATCAATTATAGTCATAAAATATATGCTTTAATATGCAAGTTACCTTTCAAAGGGTGAAGGAAAGTGAACCCTCAAAACCAATTCATTGTTGGGAGGTTTTACTTTACCATAGCCATCACACCATTGCCTATTTTCTTGATGGGTTACTTATTAGTACCAATAGCCAAATTTGACAATTTTTTAATTTATATTTCATATATAGTTTAAATTAAATTTCACTTCATTTTTTGTAATTGATTGAATTATTTTCAATTTTATGTATACTAATTTAATCTTTATTTTGTATTTGATTGTCGGATATTAATTTTTAGTTACTAAATTAAAAAATCTAATATTCTATCAATAAATTACGTAATTATCAATAACTTTTAAAAAATATTAACAAAAAATCCACCCCAAAAATTAACCAAAACAAAACCTCACAACTTTAAAAAAAAAATTTAAAAAACAAAAAATTAATAGACCCTAAAAAAAGCATTTAACAAAAATTAACGTGTGAATCTCACCTTAAAAAAAAAGGTGGGCCTCGCAATTTTTTAAAAATAAAAAGCTAATGACCTCCAAGAATAAAAAAAACAAAATCAAAAAATTATAACATGATAAAGTACGTAACATATTAAAATCTGTATATTAATATATAGATTCTCCTTCTATAATTTAATTATTCAAAATGAGATTTGATGGACATCACAAAAACAAAGCAAAACAACAATATTTGGAAACAAAAAAGAACTTGTCTTTTTTTATCATCACTTAATTTTTGCTCATAGCAATTTACCATTATTTCCAGTGGATTCTTTGTGGAAGGAACATCATGATAGATCTTTGACCCAAAACACCATCACTGGGTGGAGATTTGTTTAAAAAAAGAGTTTGGAATTAACGTCAGGGGAAATTGTTAAAAAATGTTTGTTTTTCCTATTTCCCTCGGAAACTATACTCGTTGGGTGGTTGTCTAGCGCCCACTTTACGCAGAAGCTATCTTCCACGATAAACAGTAGTTACCACAAGAATCAATTCCACTTCTTTCCTTTTTTTTTTTTGGCCAATTCCCCCCCCCCCCCCCCGGCTTTTCTTCGAATAATCCTGGAAAGAGAAATTGTTGACAGATGTTTTCTTCTTTCCTTGGAAATTGATCTGTTCTTCTCTTGTTTCATGCTTAGACCTGACGGTGTTTTTAGTTTCTGATAAATAGAAGCGAAAGGAACTGTCTCAAACACTAGTTTGAGACATCTTCACCTGCTCCTTATATCGTCATCACCACCATCACTATCATCATCATCATCTTCTTCTTCTTCTTCTTTTTCTCCTCGCCAGAAATATGATGTTTTCTTGAGTTTTAGAGGTGAAGATACCCGCACAAAATTCACTGATCATCTATATGCTGCTTTAATAAGGAATGGAATCGTCACTTTCAGGGATGATCCAAGGCTTGAGGCTGGAGAAGAAATCGCATCAGAACTCTTGAAAGCAATTCAAGAATCATGGTGTTCACTAATCATTTTCTCAGAAACATATCCTTTTTCAGGTTGGTGCTTGGACGAGCTTGCCGAGATTGTTGAACAGAGAAAAAAGAGGGGACATAAAATTTTCCCAATTTTTTATGATGTGGATCCATCTGATTTGAGAAAACAAACAGGAAAAGTTGCTGAAGCCTTTGCCAAACATGAAGAGAGATACAAGGAAACTAACGACAAGATCCAAAGGTGGCGAACTGCTTTAACTAAAGTGACTAATATCAAAGGATGGCATTTTAATAACAGGTAACTCGTTCTTTTCTTGTCTAGTTTTCGTTTTTAATCACCGCAAATTTGATTTTTTTTCTTTCTTTTTTGCATTACATGTTATCTACTAAAAAAAAAAAATTTTTTTAATCTTGTGTTTTATCGTAGAATTTCATTTAACTAAAGGGTAATTTCTGTTTTATGATGTTGTAACATAGCCTTCCTTCTTATTCTTGCTCTGTTTTTTTCCCAAACTCAGAATAAATTGTTTCTTAAAATAAAAGTGATCACCATGTTTCTTGTTTGTTTAAAATAAAAAATATATATAAAATATGTATTAAGAATTTTTTTTACTAGGTTGCTAGTTCTGAATTACTTATATACTAACCATTTATGAAAATAAAATCATAAATGATCTCTTCTAACCTTATAGATATTTGGTAATACTTAGTTTCAGTTACTAAAGCTACTAATAAGAAACTTGAGGCTTTAAAGGCATCCTAAATTTGTTCCATAAAGGATTATTGTACCCTTATTTTTTTTTACTCTTAATTTCTTGGCTCATTTTTCGCCTAAAGTTTATTTCTCTTATTGTTTGTAGGCCTGAATCAGAATTTATTGGAGAGATTGTTACAATGATATCAGCAAAATTATGTGAAACATATTCAGATGTTCCTGATGGGTTGGTTGGAATTAATTCACGTTTGGAAGAGTTGCATTCGAAAATTGAAATTGGAAAACAAGATGATATCCGCATTATAGGAATTTGTGGTATGGGCGGAATTGGTAAAGCAACTCTTGCAAGAGTTGTTTATAAAATGTCCCCTCATTTTGAAGGTAAAAGTTTTCTTGGTGATGTTCGACTTAATTCAGAGATATATGGACTTGTTCATTTACAGAAACAACTTCTTTATGAGATTTTGAAAGAAGATTTCAGATTTTCAGATGTTCAAGTAGGAAATGGAATCATTAGTCGTACGCTATCGCGCAAGAAGGTTCTTGTTGTTGTTGATAATGTCGATAACCTGCAACACTTAAAATGCTTGGTTGGAAGGCGTGATTGGTTCGGTATAGGAAGCCGAATCATCATAACATCTAGAGATGAACATTTGCTACAATTCCACGGGGTAGATGATGTGTATCAACCTACAGCATTGGATTTTCATGAAGCACTTCATCTTTTCAAATTGAATGCTTTCAAGAGTGATGCTGTGCCAGGAAAAGCTTTAATTGAGCTTTCTAAATGTGTTGTGGGATATGCTGGGGGTCTTCCCTTAGCTCTTGAAGTTTTGGGATCCATGTTGTGGAATAAAGATGCTTCCCAATGGAGAAGTGCAATTGAAAGACTTAAAAATGAACTTCACAAAGATATTCATGAGAGGCTTCAAATAAGCTATGATGGATTATCAGAGACGCAGAAGAATATTTTTCTAGATATAGCATGCTTCTTCAACTGGGAAAAGAAAGATTTTGTAACAAAAGTACTAGATGGTTGTGAGTTTTCGGCGGGTATTGGAATAGATGATCTCATTGATAAGTCCCTAATAAAAATTGATAAAGACAACAATTATTTGTGGATGCATGACTTGCTACAAGAGATGGGAAGAGCAATTGTTAGAAAAAAATCTCCTAGTGAACCTGGGAAACAATGTAGATTGTGGGAGACAAAGGATGTTTATCGCATGCTAACGGAAAACACGGTAAGTCATTCCATAAATATTACACATAAATTTGTTTATTTAGAATCTCGACTCTGCCCAAAATAATAAATTAACGACCGTGAAAAATTATTAAGTCGGTATATATTTTACTCTTATGACATTAAGATTCTGTAATTAGGATATATACAACCAAAATTTTGGGATTACGAATTAGTATTCTTGAAAATGCAAAAGAATAAGATTACTGTTGTTTATTTATTATAAAATAACACTACTTTTTTTTTTACCAAAATAAATAAATTAAGACTATTTAAGTGTTTATTTAATTTTAGTTTTATAGTTTTTTTTTTTATGAAGTTAAAATCACAATTAGGTATTTTATTTCATATAAAAATCAAATAAATAGATAATGAAACTGGATCAAAACTCACATATAATGATACATGCAACTTGAGACAAGGCCTCATTCGCATTATAGTTTTATAATTAAATTATAAATTTTTATATTTAAATTTCTCATCTTAATTTAAATAAAATCAAACTAATTTCTTTTAATGTTAATTAAGCTTTACTGAGAAGTAACCTAACCATTTAAAATCTTTAGTATTATGTACCGTTATAGTTCATTCCTCTTATAATTTGGCTATTAATTTTATTACATCATGCATTTTGTGTCTTCTTATCCTTCACTCTTTTGATTTTTAGGCTACGGAAGCAATTGAAGGCATGGTCATTGACATTAAAGGGTGCAAAAACATACATGTATCGTTGTATATATGTACATGTATTATTACTTAATCTTGACTTATTTTTGAGCCATGGTTGCTAGATCACATATGTTATTAACATTTTTCCTTATGTGACATCCTTTCATTTTTTTTTATTGTAGTTTTTTAATAAAGTTAGAATCATATATGGTCAAAGGTATTCGTTCAAACTTGAAGACTCATTTACTATTTAGAGAGTTGAACAACAAAAAATGAGACTCATTTAGGGACTTTGGCTCTAACATTTAAGACCTGAGCCTGATTCAAATTATATAATATATATCATTTTTTATATTTATATATTATATATAGTATATAACGAGAAGGGATCAACTAACATAAAAAAATTTATATTTTTTTAATTATTGATTTTAATAGATCTAAAAAGTAAAGTTAAATCATTTTTTCTTTTTATTTTTTTCGTCTCTTATATCTATTAAATATATTATATAATAAAATGAGAAAAAAAATCATAGGTAATCACCTAATGACTACTCAAAATTATAACATAACCAATAAGAAATTGAAAACATGTTGTTTTAACTAAAAAAGTTTGTTGGAGCTTTATTTAGATGGAACAGGCATTGAAGAACTTCCCTCTCCAATCGGACATCTCAACGGGCTTAAACGTTTGAATTTAAGTGACTGCAAAAGTCTTAGAAGTCTTCCAACCAAAATTGGAATGGAATCTCTTGAAACGTTAATTCTTTCAGGCTGCTCAAATCTTAAAAGGTTTCCAGAGATCGATGGCAAAATGAAATGTTTGCTGGAGCTTTATTTAGATGGAACAGGAATTGAAGAACTTACGTCCTCAATTGGACATCTCAGCAATCTTGTTTTGTTAAAACTGAAAGATTGCAGTAACATTGTGAGTCTCCCAAGCAGCATAAATGGGTTGAAATGTCTTAAAACTCTTAATCTCTTTGGCTGTTCCAAAGTTGAAACTTTACCAGAGAATTTGCAGTATGTAGAATTTTTGGAGGAGCTTGATTTAAGTAAAACTGCTATAAGAAAACGTTCATCCTTCATTTTTCAATTTAAAAGTCTGAAAGTTCTGTCTTTCAATGGATGCAAGGGACCACCATCGAAATTACGACTTAATTTGGCTTCTCCTTTCAATGCGTCGCAAAGAGGAAGTTCGGATTCCATGGCTCTGATGTTACCTCCTTTGTTAGGTTTAAGTTCTTTGACGAAACTGAATCTAAGTTACTGCAATCTTTGGGAAGGACCTATTCCTAGTGATATTTGCTGCTTATCCTCTTTGGAAGAACTTGATCTTAGTGGTAACAATTTCATCTACCTACCTGCAACTCTTAATCGACTTTCCAAGCTTGGGTTTCTTAGATTGTCAGATTGCAGGGAGCTTAAATCGTTGCCTGAGCTCCTAAGTATAGAACAAGTGATCATAGATGGTTGTGTTTCATTGGAAGTAGTTGCAGATCCAACAACAGTACGCAATTCAACAAATTGGGGATCAATTACTGGTTTTAACTGCTACAAATTGGCTGAGAAAAACAATGCATTAACAATACTAAAAAAACACCTTAAGGTTAGTATCACTCTCTCTCTGAATCTAACTCTCTAGAATTTATTGTATTAGTTGCCAAATAACAAAAGATTTTTTTCACAGGTAATTGCTAATGCAAGACCATTATTCGACATTGTTATACCTGGAAGTAAAATCCCAGAATGGTTCCCCCATCAGAGGGATGAATCTTCAATAAAGATACCACTGCCTCCTAATATTCTGAATGATAGTCAGTGGATGGGAGTTGCTTTCTGCTGCATTTTCGTCTTTCGCTTCATTGATGATGATGTTTATAAGAGGGATGCAATAACGTGTAAAGCAGTTATCCACGGTAGGAATATTCCAAAAGTCGATTGGAGTGGCTTTACTTTGGGAGGAGAATCTAGGCAGCCTGGGGTCATTAAGGAGTTCCTTTGGCTACGTTATTATTCTTGTGACAAGATATTTCCGTTTTCGTTGGAGGAAAAATGTGGTAAAATTGAGAATTCATTGAGCACAGATTGGGCAAATCAAGAATGCAATGAAATTGAGTTCTCAATCCAATCCTCTTTAGGTGTCGCATCTATCAAAGTGAATAAGTGCGGTGTTCGAATAGTGTATGAGAAAGATTTGGAAGAGAAGGAAGAAATGCAAGAGTAACGCAGCATTCCAACAAATTGTGCAGATCTTGACGATATCCATCAAGACATTGGTGGTGATGAAGGTTCAACCGGGAATGATGGTGTCCTTGTAAAACGAAAAGGTAACGTCTACGAGGAGGCAGCAGGACCAAGTGATGAGAATGATAGCCCTGAAGAAAGACCACACCCCAAGCGCCTGGAAAAAATTTTGAACTTTATAACAAGGAAGAAACATTCTGGTAAACTTATAAACCTTATATGAATCTTTTCATTTATTTGCATGCTTTTCAATAAAATAAGGGGATTGCTCGATTTCTATAATTTCTTATAAATTTAATTTGCTTTAATATCTATGTGTTTTTTCTTCAAGTTGAAGAATAATAATTATGAATTGAAATAAAATAATTAGTACAAATTACATAAAAAGGCAAGAAAGGTGAGAAGGTGGAATCTTTTGATGTCATTTGGGGCATAATCATCTAATCTTTGCTTCAAAGAGTGTTTTACACCATTTTTTTTGTTTTAATTGGAAGAAAGAAGATTCGAATCTTGTTTTTGGATTTGGTATTTTAAAAAACAAGATCATATGTAATGTTTTTTTTTTTTTCCCAAGGATTATATAGAAATTTCATTTCCAAAAATCAAGTAGGCAAAGGAATTATAAATTGTGCTACCTGGTAAAAAAGAAAACATGAGATAAAGTAGAAGAAAGTTATAAATTAATAAACTCAACAATAAATATTAAAATATCATTTAAATGTAAACCACCCAAGTCTAGGATTTCTATTCAAGCTCAAACAATTTATTCTTTAAATTTTTTTTTTTTTTTTACAAAAGATGTTGTTGCTTAACAATAAAAGAATTAGTTATAAACGCTGAAATTTAAAATTTAGATTTATTGGATATCACCTTTTAAAAGTAATTAATTAATTGAATAAACTTAGTTGAACTTTGAGTTATTATTTGTACCTTCCTTATAGGGAGCTTAATATGGATAGACCAAGTTTCACTAACTGCTACTAAAGACTAGTAAATCCTATTAAAACTTCTTATTGATGACAATTATTTCACCCATTGAACAATGTAGAAGTTGGATTAAGATTGGATTGTGACAGAATTTATGAACTCTTCATCGTTTGCCAAGGCATGCAATGTTTCAGGTAAAAAGTAAGCTTCAATGTCTTCTTCAGCTCCACCATATACTGTTATCTTCCCATCATGCTTGTTCCCAACCCCACTTCGAATTGCAATTGGCCTTCCCCATCCAAAATCAATGCTATAATAATCAAACTGAGGTGAACCACCCAAGACCAGCAGATTGTTTATACTAGTTGCTGGGCTTGCTGTCAATAGAATAAGACTTTCCTTCCATTATAAGATGATTCTCACCCCTTTCATTACATGAAAGAACGACAAAATAGAATGCAAAAAAATCTCTTATAAAATCTTTAGGTTATACAGGTTCAGTCTATTGTATAATATATAAGTTTCCTCCAATTTTATATTGGTTTGTTAAATTAGTTTATTTAGTTTATTTTTTAATTTCGTTCACTTGATTTTATAATAATTATTAGATCATAGATTATTAGAATGATTTGATTTCAATTTTAATTTCTATATACGCATATAATTTTGAGGGCATTATCCCCCCAAAACCATTGTACCACGAAGGCAACACGAGACTTATACAATTGTAACTAAAATTTTTTTATAATTTTCAAATAAATAAATTAGTTTAAAATTAATTTTATTTGCTCCTTGCTTTACTTTTAGAGCTTTCACTTTAAATACTACTATTTATAGGATTAGGCAAGGCTGCTTTCATTGTGCGCTAACAAGCAAAGTCAATTAAGGCCTTAATTAAGGCCTATCATTTAATATTTTATGGTATTCTATAGGGTAACTTGTTCTATTCTTATTGGCATGTTTAAAAAAATAATTGATATTAACCTTAATCAATGTATTTTTAAAAATAATTACTAAATTCCAATGTAAAATAAATAAACTGCTATTATCTCTAAATTAAAACTAAATTAAAAACATGAATAATGGCCCACACCAAGGCTAACGGACTAGAATCAATTTTCATTGTTTGAATATTTAGACAATATGGCTTAATATAGTTGATTTATACAGTTATCTTTAAATGTGATATTCATTAAGTATGGCAGTTAAATTTCAATACTTTCAATCCCTTCTAAATTCTAAAACCAGATAACATGAACTGGTTATGAAAGATTCAAATTCACAACAATCTATTTTCCTCCTTTCTTTCTAAATATGCTTGATAGTATCAGATTGTTGGGATACTATCGCAGTCTAAAGCAATTTTATAGTGCAATTTCGAAACTTACTGCCACTGAACGCCTCATAACTTTAGGCTCAGCAGTTCACCTTCTTTCTATAATTAGCTCTGTTTCAATCCAACATACTAAAGGTTATTATTCTTTGTAACCCTCATAGCTCTGTTTCTATATAATTAGCTTTGTTTCATCCAAAAGAAGGGAAAAGAAAAAAAAATGGCAAAACCTTGGCATCTCATATTAGATTTCTTTTAATCTGATGCAAATAAGATGTTGCTAACAAAATATATGTAAAGGCATTTCTTCTCTGTCTGACAATATTCCATCATGGAATGTGTCTGCGGGAGAGGGTTTATCTGCCAAAGATAGAGAAAGGCTTGGAATACATAACTGTTTATAGTACATAGTCTCAGAAAACTTGCATAACAACAGACCAATTTACAGAATTATTTCAGAATAGAACTTGAGATGGAAACATCTCCATAGTAAGAAGTAGTAACACAAGGAGGCACTAGGTGCTGGATTTTAATGGCAATTGCTCTTCCGAAGCCACTGGAAGGTCCTCATATATCACTGATTCTTGGAATCTCTTTGGAAGGAAACAACCACCACCAAAGCGTTGTTGCAAGTGTATGATTGCAGCAAAGAAGAGGCCCGACACAGGAATAATGATGTTCCAAGCAGTTGAGTAATAATCTGCAGCAGGATCTGCATTAATGTACGAGTCATCTACATCAACATAATTGTGTGCCCTGTAGAGATCATATCCGTGGGGTTCAAGGCGAACAAGGGTTATTCCAATGTAAAAGAAGCGAGAAAGAGCCTGTTCTTTTGAGTTCTGGAACATGTTGAAGAGGATTTGGGGGAAAAGAAAGGCGTCAAGGATCAAACCAGCATAAGCTCTTGAACCCCCCAAAATGATCTGCTCTATGTAGTATGAAGAATGGCTTCCGGTTCGAGCTAGATTTTTCCTCCATTTCACGAAAAAGGCGATTACAGCTCCAGCTATGTACACTGGAAAACACGCGTAGAGCCCCCCGCTTCTCAGCAACCCACAAGGCCTTTTTCTTTTCATCAGAACATCTAGCAGTCCATGAAAGCATCAGAAGTCGAATTTGCAGCAGAAAAGCCACCATTGTGACAACCCTAACGATCACCTCGTTCATTTCTAGCCATGTTCTACCTCTAATCCAAACAGATCTTTCACTATCTTGAACGACATTGTTTCAAGATTTAGAACCAAAGGGATCAAGTGTCCCGAGGCTAGAATGACAAGCATGAGAAGTGAAACAAAAGGACAAACGCCAGGATGCTTCCTCACATGAAAGATTTGAAGTACTACAAAGACAGTTGCAAAAGTGTTGGATATGACAGACATGACCACCTCGAAATCCATTCTCCAAATTGATTCCACTGCCCACCTGCGATAATGAGCTCTTCCTGAGAAGTACATAGGTTCAAAGTAAAGGTGATCAGTTGTTTCACGCATGCTCTTAATGCTTCCCTTGATTTTACTTCCTTTTCTGTCTGAGTTCAATGGAGGAAAATGAATATCCACAAGGATCTCGCAGTCCATTGAATGACTTACAGGTGCCTTGTTTTCTGATCTGAGTTCTCTGCAGCCAACCATGCACAGATTACCTGTTTCAGCATCATAAAACCCTTCAGCAGAAATTTGGATTTCCCGATATCCATTTGAAGATTGGTTAAATGGACGATTAAGGGTAGAACTCAATTCCAAACTAGGTAGTTTGATGCTCATTTTGTAGCTGATATTAAGCAAGCTACGATGGTATCTGATTTAACACTAGGATTTACAGGCCTTGAGCTTGAGGATGGTATTAGAAATGGAAATCTCTGATAAGGCTGATCACCCACTGCAAGAGGATTTGAATAACCGCATCCTGTTTGTCCTTCGGAATTTTTGATTGAGATATGAAAACCCATATCTCCAGAATAGCCATCTGGGTATTTCCCCAGGCTGCTCTTCCTAGTAGGATTCTTCTTTAGGCATGACTTCTTTACTTTGTCCATTGCCATGTACTCATACTTCAAACCTTGAAGCTGAATTCCTCCCCTACTATGGTAAGTATTTCGGAACACGAACCTATCAAAGAAACCAGATTCATTCCTCGGCTTTTCACTCCAAATTTCACCTAAAACAGTATTCGTGTTTCTGATAGACAAGATTGCTGGAAATCTCAAGCTCAACCTTGTTGTGCAATCTCCAACATGAGACTTCTGCAAGGAGCTTGATGCATCATAGATTCGGCAAGCAACAATACAAAGCCGATTCTTCTTTGCATCCCAAGATCCTTTCCCAACTAATGATGTGCTGAAATTGAAACAGCTATAATACCCCATATGACTATTGTTAGGAAATTCTATCAGAAGCCTCAAGCTTAGCTTATCGTCGGAGCACTGAATCATACGCAAAGATATGACCCGCGGCAAATATCCAATACCGTCACCAAATGGATTGCAACTCTTTGAAGAATCACAACCACTTGCATACTCTAGTTCAAAAACATTGCCTCGACCTAAAACCATATTATAAATAGTTCGACTCCGCCATAAGCTGAGGGATGACACCACAGGAATATCAGTTCCCCCAGGGCACCCTCGACTAAATTGTTTTGAAACCTTGGTGTACTTGTAATTTACTTCAGGAAACATCAGCAGGGAAATTTGCTCAAAGTAATTTGGTTCAGCAGCAGGATACAAGCTATCCATGGTTCCAGTGACTAAACTATTAATAGTACTTGAACTCTTAATATTGTTGAACTTGAGAACAGCAGCAAGATGAATCAGCTTACCTTCTTTGGAGTATGTATAGCTTGATCCCACCATGCATAGCTTCCCGGTAGTTCTAGACCAGAAGCCATGAAAATCAAAGTCGAGAACTCCGCCATTACTTGAATCACTTGAATATGAATAGAATGACAAACCAGAGGAGAAACTCTGTTCGTAGTTATAGAAGCTTTGAAAGATTAGGTTTCCTGCCACCTTGAAGACATCCTCATCATCAGTTGCATATACATGATGAGTTTCGAAAACTAGAGCTTTCGATTCAGATGAATAATACTGATATGAGCTACGATTCAAGACTTTATCCCCACCATAGTAGTAACCATTTTGACGTCCAGGAAATGGGAAGATACTGAACTCCTCATCAGCTGGTTTTGATTCATGAACAACTGAATCACAGTGATGACCATAACTAAGTTGAGTTGCGGTGCCAGATACAATATTCAGGTAGAAGAAAGAGGAGAGAAAAAACAGCAATGAAACATGAAAGGAAAGTTTTGATGAAGTAGAGAATATGGAACAATGATCCATAACTATAGGCTTGAATTTCTTCAGACAACAGGATTGGGAGGAAGAACTTATAGGAAACTTGGAAAAGAGGTGAAAATATATAGCTCTATCTCTCACTGAGCTAAGGTGAACTAGGCAAAGCTGGTGGACCTTCAAGGAAATTTCCTGGTGCACGAGCTTTGTAGAAAACTTGCATCTTTGACTTGACTGAAAATCATCTCTACTAACTCTTCTTAGTCTCGACTGGGACCAATGACGTGATAATAACATGCTTAATTCATAATATATCTTTGAAAATCGATTTTTTTTTTGGACTTCGGTTTCGGTTTGAATATTTTAAATATTTTTATTTTACAATTCGAAAATCGATACGAATTGAATTGAAATATTTAATGTTAAAGAATAAAAAAAACTAAGTTTTGACCCAGTTTGGGTTTAGGAGACGTTTCTTGACAGGTCCTACTGTCACGGGCTCCGACCTTAGACTCAGAATCCGTGCGGCCTTAGGCTTGAAATCTCCTCCTTTGTGCCTAAGTCAGCCTAAAACACAAGCGTGCGGGCACTAGAACAATGGGAATGGCTGATTACGCAAGTTAAAGAAAAACATGATGAACAGACAGAATTCTGGAAATGCTCTTGTATTCACTGAAACAGAAGTGTTTGATGGTGTACAAATGAGGGTGGAGCAATCCTCTATTTATAGTTGAGGCTCCAGCTACAACTTAATGGCATATCCCTAGAATAAATGCTAAAATCATGGGATTATACATATTACAATCAATCAGGATGCTAATTCCTGATTTTCAGGGTCAACCAAATCTGTCAGGATGCTCCAGCTGATCCTACCTGCTTCCAGAAGCTTCCCTTGCGTGTCCAGCATCTTGGGCCCTTCTGGATGTGGTGCGGGCAGCTTGTATGCCAGGCCTTGGTCTCACGGGCTGGCCTGCAAGATGGGCGGGCATTTGGAGCTCGTTTGCTAGGTTTTGCGCACAGATACCCGCCAGCACGCCTGGTCTGCGGGCCTCAATCTCTGGCTCGCCTGCTGGTCTGCCTGATGTGCCTGACGCGCCCGCCCAGGGCGTGACATTCTCCCCCACCTGATTGCGCAACGCCCTCGTTGTGTCTTCTGCACGGTACTGCCTGATCTGGTCCCCGAACTGCCATAAGTCGTCTGCTGGTTCCCAACTCACCTCACTGTCTGGAAGTCCCTTCCAGCGCACCAAGTACTCATGTCTTGGTTGATAGTTCTTCCGTCTCACCTCTCGGTCAGCCATAATGCTGTGGACCTCCTTCTCATATGAGGCCCTTGCTCCCAACGGTGCACGCTTTGACTCTGCCCGTCCTGGATCTCTCTCATCCTCATGGAACGGCTTGAGCATGCTCACATGGAACACCGGGTGTACCCTCGGCTTGGGTGGCATATCCAGCTTGTAGGCAACCTTGCCTACCCTCTTGACTACTCGAAAAGGTCCCTCATACCTCCGGACTAGGCCTTTGTGCAGCCCCCTGTGGCGCACAATGGGATGCAGCTTCACCAACACCAAGTCTCCAACCTGGAACTACACATCCTGCCTCTTCTGGTCTGCCCACTTCTTCGACCTCTTGGCCGCTTTGTGTAGACAAACTCTGGCCAAGTCAGTTTGCTCCTGCCATGCCTTGGCAAACTTGTACGCTACTGGATTTAGCCCTGTATAACCTGCAGCAATCGAACTGGGTGTTAGTGGTTGTTGTCCTGTCACAACCTCAAATGGGCTCTGGTTCGTTGCCTCGCTCCTTTGCAAGTTGTAGGAAAACTGCGCAATATCCAGTAGCTTTGGCTAGTCCCTTTGTGTGGCACTCACATAGTGCCTGAGGTAGACCTCCAATAGTCTGTTCACACGTTCTGTCTGCCCATCGATCTGCGGATGCATGCTGGTGGAAAAGTTCAAGTCTGACCCTAACAGCTTGAACAACTCAGTCCAGAACCTGCCCGTGAACCGCCCATCCCGATCACTAATAATGGTCCTCGGTACTCCCCAGTACTTAACCACGTTCTTCAGAAACAATCGAGTTGCCTCCTCGGCTGGGCACTCCTTGGTTGCTGGAATGAAAATTCCATACTTGGAAAACCTGTCCACCACTACCATGATGCTTCCAAACCCCTCTATCTTGGGTAGACCGACTATAAAGTCCAGAGAAACACTCTCCCATTGTCGCTCTGGCACTAGCAATGGCTCCAAGAGACCCCCTGGTTTCTTGAGCTCCACCTTGTCCTATTGGCACACAAGATAAGTCTTCACATAGGCCTCCACATCATCCCTTATGTGCGGCCAGTAGTACCGGTCCTCGATTAGCGCTAAGGTGCGACTCACTCCTGGGTGTCCAGCCCACCTTGAATCATGACATTCTTGCAAAACTTCTATGCGGAGCTTCCCGTGCTGTGGCACAAACAGTTTACTGTCCCTGATGTACAGCAAGCCATCCTGCATCCAAAATCGCCTAGTCTTACCTTGCTGGGCGTACTTCATCAGAGCTTTGGTTGTAGGATCATGCGCAAGTCCCTCCTTGATGCACGGCACCAGTAACCCCTCTGGTTGGCTAATGGCAGCAAGGTTAGCTTTCCTGCTCAGGGCGTCTGCCACTAGGTTCGCCCGCCCCGACTTGTACTCTATATGGAAATCAAATTTCGCAAGAAAATCTTGCCATCTCGCCTGCTTGGGGGACAGCTTCTTCTGCGTCTGGAAGTAGCTGGTCGCCACATTGTCCGTCCCCACCACGAACCTCGTCCCCAACAGGTAATGCCATCAAGTTCGCAAGCAATGCACCACTGCAATCATCTCCTTCTCTTGGACCGTGTACTTGCGTTCAGTCTCGTTCAGCTTCCTGCTCTCAAACGCGACTGGACGTCCCTCCTGCATCAACACGCCCCCTATGGCAAAGTCTGATGCGTCCGTATGCACCTCATATGGCTTGGCATGGTCTGGCAAGGCCAAGACTGGCTCTTTGGTCACAGCCCGCTTCAACCTGTCAAAGGCTTCCTGGCACCCTACGCTCCACTCCCATGCTCTCCCTTTCTTGAGCAAGTCAGTCAATGGCGTGGCTATTGCTGAGTGACCTTTGATGAAGCGCCTGTAGTAGTTAACCAGGCCAAGGAACGATCTCAACTCAGTGACCTTGGCTGGCGGTTGCCACTCCAGGATGGCGTGTATCTTGCCTTCATCCATGCGTATCCTGCCACCTCCCACTATGTGGCCAAGGAACGGGATCTCTTGCTGGGCGAATGAGCACTTCTCCCTCTTGACAAATAGCTTGTGCGCCCGTAACACCTCGAACACCTGTCTCAAGTGGTCTACATGCTCTCCCAAAGTCTAGCTGTAGATCACAATGTCATCCAAATAAACCACAACAAATCGATCAAGGAACGACTGAAGTACCTTGTTCATAAGGGTGCAGAATGTTGCTGGGGCATTCGTGAGTCCGAAAGGCATCACCAAGAACTCATACGAACCATACCGAGTGACACATGCTGTCTTGGGCTCATCTCCCTCCGCGATCCTGACTTGATAGTAGCCCGACCTCAAATCCAACTTGGTGAACCACCTTACGCTTCCAAGTTGATCGAACAAGTCCGCAATGAGTGGGATGGGGTACTTATTCTTGATGGTTAGCTTGTTCAAAGCCCGGTAGTCTATGCACTGCCGCAACGACCCATCATGCTTGTGTTGGAATAGAACCGGTGCACCATAGGGTGCTTTCAATTGCCTGATGAAGCTAGCATCAACTAACTCCTTGAGCTACTTCCTCAACTCCTCCAACTCTAGTGGAGACATTCGGTAAGGGGCTCTGGCTGGTGGCTTGGCCTCGGACACCAGCTCGATCTTGTGGTCCACCTCCCTCTTAGGTGGTAGCTTGCTAGGCAGCTTTGCGAGCATCACATCACTAAAGGTTTTCAGCACCTTTAGCACCTCCAAGGGTGACTCGGTCTCCTTCTCTCTTGGCTCATCATATTTCAAGGCTGCCAAGAAGGTGTCTTCTTGTCTGTTTACCGCCTTGGCAAATTGGATGGCTGACACCACCTGCGACCCAACTCCAGACCCTCTTCTCAATGGTACTAGGCATTGGCACCGTGCATCCAAGATGCAAACACAATCGACAAAGGGCACAAGGAGGGTTTTAATTCGAACAAGGAAATCCAACCCAATCACAAACTCATAGTCGTCAAGGGGTATTACCTCTATGGTCTCCTTGCCTTTCCAGTCTCCAAGCTGTAACTCCACTCCCCGTGCTACTCCAATGGCTGGAACTTCTTTGGAGTTCACCGTTTTGATGGTACCAGTCCCTTTCTGCACCTTCAGTCCAAGCTTCCGGGCTTCATCACCTGAAATAAAAAGATGTGAGGCACCTGTGTCCACCAGTGCACTCAGCTTCTGACCCGTAACCATCAGATCCGCGAACATCAAGCCCTTTGGCTTGCGGCTCCCCTTACTCTGGACAGCATTGAACACCAACGACCCAAGCTTGCTGCCCCTGACTCTGGCTCCTCGTCAGACTCCTTGTCTACAGCAACCAGCTTGCCCTTCTGCGCAATTGCGTGCTATGTGGCTCCCTCCACATAGGTAGGCATGCTAGTGGTTCCCGATTTCCTTTTGCTTTCCACTTGCCTGCTGGTGGCTTTCTTTTGCCATCCTTGTTTGAATGGTCTCGGTTTCCTTCCTTAGACTCTCGGTCACGGTCCTTCCCCTTGGACTGCTTCTTCCGGTCCCTATCGTCCCTGCCTTTACCCTTGGGCTTGGAAGACTCGAACTTGTTCAGAGGCTTGAACTCTATCAACGCCTCGACAGTAGTCATAGCTTTAGCCAAGTCATGAACTCCTCTCCTTTGTAGCTCATGCTTCACCCATGACTTCAGCCTATCCATGAAAGCAAAGAAGGCGTCCTTTTCGCCTAGATCCGAGATCTGTAGCATTAGTTCAGAGAATTTCTGGACATACTCCCTTATGTCCCCTTGCTGGCTCAACCTGCGCAACTTTGCCCGCGCCTCATCATCGGCATACTCTGGGTAAAATTATTCTCTGAACTCCTTTTGGAACTCTGCCCAGGTTCCAATCTTGGCGCTCCCACGCCTGACATCATCACACCTGCGCCTCCATCACAATAAGGCTACATCAGTGAGATACATAGCAGCGGTGCTTACCTTTATCGCCTCGTCTTGCATGCCCAAGGCCTGGAAGTACTGCTCCATACCCCAAAGGTAGTTGTCTACTTCCTTAGCCGCCCTAGTCCCTTTAAACTCCTTAGGCTTGGGGACATCCAATCTGGATTTGGACACTCCAGCAAACATGCCATTCCCAATGGCAGTCTTGGAAACAACGAGCTCACTGGCAAGCTCTTCCATCCGCTGGCGCATGGCCTCCATGCCATCGCGCAAGGTCTGCACTTCAACCTCCAAGGTCTGGTTCTTCTGGGTGATCGCATCCAGGCTTTTGTTGAGGGCAGCTTCCAGCCCACTTTGGATCTCCTTCCCCATGGAGTCTAGCGATACAATGTGAGTCTCGACTTCCTCAAGCTTCTCCCCCATGTCACCAATGGTCACCTCCACCTTGGCCAGCCTACCGTCCATGGTAGACCAGATGTCTCTAGAACTGGCTTTCTTGCCTCTTCCTCGCCCATGCTCCTGGGCCTCTGGTTGTTGGCTAGCAACGTCGCTTTGAGATGCCATCTCCTCAGTCACGATTTAACCTGCACAACACAAACACGCAGAATCGAACTTGCTCTGATACCAACTGTCACGGGCTCCGACCTTAGACTTAAAATCCGTGCGGCCTTAGGCTTGGAATCTCCTCATTTGTGCCTAAGTCAGCCTAAAACACAAGCGTGCGGGCACTAGAACAATGGGAATGGCTGATTACGCAAGTTAAAGAGAAACAGGATGAACAGACAGAACTCTGGAAAAGCTCTTGTATTCACTGAAACAGAAGTGTTTGATGGTGTACAAATGAGGGTGGAGCAACCCTCTATTTATAGTTGAGGCTCCAGCTACAACTTAATGGCATATCCCTAGAATAAAGGCTAAAATCATGGGATTATACAGATTACAATCAATCAGGATGCTAACTCCTGATTTTCAGGGTCAACCAAATCTACCAGGATGCTCTAGCTGATCCTGCCTGCTTCTAGAAGCTTTGCTTGCATGTCTAGCATCTTGGGCCCTTATGGATGTGGTGCGGGCAGCTTGTATGCCAGGCCTTGGTCTCACGGGCTGGCCTACAAGATGGGCGGGCGTTTGGAGCTCGTTTGCTAGGCTTTGCGCACAGATACCCACCAACACGCTTGATCTGCTGGCCTCAACCTCTGGCTCGCCTGCTGGTCTGCCTGATGTGCCTGGTGCGCCCGCCCAGGGCGTGACACTACAGCTGACTTGACTTAAACTAGAGCCAGTCATTTACTTTTAGATAGCTGAAGCTGTCAACCATGCTTTCAGTGTATATAAACCACAATTTACTCTAATTTCATTCAGAGAAATAAACCCGGTTGTCCCTCATTCGCCAAACATATGAAGGAAAGGAAAGGTCAAATAACAACTGTCAGAGAAGACATTCCTGAGGAGCAAATGCCGGACATTTTCTGTCATCCTTTTAGTTATCAAGAAGATCATTAAAAAAGCAAAATTTTTTTAAAAAAAAAAAAAGCCATCGGAGAAAGTTGCAAAAATTTCCAATTTCCAATGTTGAAATTATTTACATCCATATACAATGCTGAAACTATATATAAGCGTCCTATGAACCAAAGCATCTTGATAAGAAAAAAAAAAACTACTTTACATATAAATTAAACCATTTTAATCGAAGTTTCAAAATTTTAATTTAAAAAAAGAGTTCATATTGCAGACTTGAACGTATTATCAACTCGGTTATTTTGACATTTGAGGAGAATAAGAAATTTCTCACAATCATTGATTTCAAGTATTGTAAATTCTTTCACGAGCATATTTACACATCCAGCCATAGAGTCATTAAATTTCTGTGAGCAGCTTTCTCACCTTCATCAACGTCTTGAACACCACCTTTTACCATGCAACCTACCTGAGCACCATCCATATATGCTTTACATGCCACAAGAATATGATCAGCACGCCTGTAGAAATGGCCCACAACAAAGTCCTCAAAATGCTGCAGCCAAACATGATTTTTTTTAGAATTTTAAGCCAAAGAGAAGCAATGGTAATTATACATTCTAACTCGCATTGTGGAACAAAATTTTCTTATATTATCATCAATATCAATATCTTAGTGCAAGTGATTAGTACCACATTGAATAGATCATTGTCTTCACTGACAAGATAAATGTATCCTCATTGTAATACCGGGACAATAATTCACCTTTTGATGTGCCATTGTGATGTGCCAAACCAGGCTCGTTAAATTAGGGCTTCTGATTCAAGATTAGAGCCTAAATACATACCAGAACTTGGAGCATGGTTGACATACCAGGTATCCACTTCTCATTCTTATAACCAGACCAAATGCTAAGAAGACTAAGAAATACTTTGCCACAACTATACAAATATCGATTGAGCAGAAGTCCACCAGAATAGATAGTATACATGCTGAAACAAGCAATTTCCTAGTCATCCAACCAAACATGTATACCAAAAGATATAATCATAAAAGATGCAAGATAATATTTCAAATTCATAATCCTCAATTACAAACTGGTGGTACTTGAGGATGGCTAGCAGGGAAGAAAACATCAAAGAAAAAGAGACCATCATGGTAGGGGGTGCCCTCTGCTCCTATAATTACAGCC